TCTAAACAGGTTATTTACAGACAAATACTACAATCTTAACAGAGCTGAGCCACATGCTATCAAAGAACACATCCGTACCCAAGAGGAAGAGCAGAAGTACGGGCAAGTCCAAGCCCACGTGTGTCTTACTAGCCTCTGCTCAGTGTCATTACACCTGCTGTAAAGAGCACTATTTATTTTCCTGTTTAATGTGTGATTCTCAGCTCAATATTCCTCTTCTTTGCTCAGATGCTGGCCAAGTTTAGTTTTAGCCTGCTCCACCACACAGCAAGTAGGTACACAGGGTAGCCTCTCCGGACCTCACACAGTGAATGGAGCACAACCTCCTGGGGCAATGAAGACTGATCGAGAGTCAGGCAAATTCATCTACCCACCACTTCCTGTCCTTCTAGTCCTGAGCATTCCCAGTCCTATTTGCTTAAAATAAAAACAAAATAAACAGCAACAGAAAACATAAAGGAACAATCTAGATAATGAGGGAAAGAGTGAGATTCACCGTCACACCGTGGTTTTTCCCACTTCCAAACCAGCCCTGCTCTAAGACCCCAGGGCTGCCACGGAGCCTCCAAAAGACCCACCGAGACCAGGAGACCGTCCAGCCCCGAGATGAAGAAACGCTGGCCAAGAGGGTCATGTCAGGGAGGGGTCCCCAAAGACATGGTCCAGCTGCTCAGAGTACAACTCCGCTGTGGGCAGGCACGCCCCACTTACCGTGTTGTAAATAGAATAAGCAGCGAGAACGTGGAATAGGGATTGTTGCCTAGAAAAAAAGAAAACTTCCGTTGAACACGACTGAGTTATTTCACATATTTCTACAATTATACACTTAAAAAAATTAACAACGGTTTGACTGAAGATAGACAGATAATCTATCTGGACTATCTACTATTATAATAAAGAAATGGTCCCAAGCTGAATGCAACAATACCCTGTACAGTCTAAATGTGAAGCTAGATAATGTTCATTCTGACAGAAAGAATTTATACCACAATGCACAAAGGACTTCACTATTTTTAAAATGTGCTGCCCTCTTTCACTGAACTATTCTCTCCACGAAGTCATCCCACAACAGTGGCCAGCCTGAAGAACCGGGGAACACCATTCTGAAGCCTCATTCACAGCTGGGGGCTCCACCCTGCAGGGCTGGGGCCGTGTCCCCCAAGAGGCAGG